ACGCCACAAGAATTGAATAAGTTGACCTTGATTCTTGAACTGCAATTAGAAAGAATGCAATCTCAGCATCCATTTCTAAAAACATGAACACGGCCAAAGGCACTGAAAGGAATTCTCTCTTGAATAATTGATATCTAATAATAAGTCATAATTGACAAAAATAACAAGCTATTTATAGCTATCTAGAGAGGTCCAGATCCTTAAAGGAATTTAGAGTTAAGGTGAGCTAAGGAGTAGGATTTAGCAAATCTAAACCACCTAAGGATATGACTAACAAAATCATAACAACTTAAGGATTTGGATATCTAACCCAAATCTATTAAAGATTGACCAAATCTAAACGAAATAAGGCTAATTAATCAAGGGTGGCCGAAATGTAGGAGGCCCAACCCATTACATAGCAAAAACTCAAAATAAACTAACTTGCTTAATGAGAGGCAGGGGGTTGCACGGTCCAGGGCGTGCCAAGGCGCACGGGCATGCTTCAATGTAAAGTTTCCTTCGCGAGAGGCAAAAGAGTGCATGGTCTGGGGCGTGCTAGTTGGCACGGGCGTGCTTCAAATCAAGTGTCGTTCCTTGAGAGGCAGAAGCTTGCACGGCCTGGGGCGTGCTACCTTGCACGGGCGTGCTAACCAAGCATAGCCTAGGCATGTCATGTGTTGGAAATTCAGGTTCCAACTCAACATGTGCTTCCATTAATGTGAGAAACTTAGGTGTTCCTTCAAGTTCTTCATAGCACTCTTAGGTGTTCCTTCAAGTTCTTCATAGCAGCTTGTTGAAAGCAAAGGTCCAAGGAGCTCTTGTGTAATTTTTTCTTGAATGTAATAGAGACTTTATCATGGTCGCTCCATAACTTTTTGACGGCTCCTTGTAAATGTGGTCCACAGGAAGTAGCTAATGGATTGCGACATTCGTTAAGTACTAATGGATTGCCATTGTTGTGGTCCTTGTTCCCTTGAGCTCCATAGGTGGTTGGTGATAGTGGATCCGTATCATCAGAAAGGGTAAGGGAGGATTTAGTTCAGCACGCCGGTGCTTCACCTCAAGCACGCCCGTGCTCAGTTCTGACCCTAAAAAAGAAACAAAAAAAAAATTTTTTTTTTTTAATTTTTCTTTGATTGCTTGCTTTGTTTTGGGTAGAATTAATTAGGTTCATATTTGGTTTGCTTTATAGTAAGCTAAATTCATACATTATATCCTGAAATTGTCTTTTAAATTCTAGTCTCTTATTCTTGTTTGAGCTTTATTGTGCTTCTATTACATTATTAGGGTGTGTTTGCTTGTTTACTACACTCTAATTGATAATTAAGTAGTGCATTGTTTTGTTCTTGTGCTACTATCCATCTCGTTATCTCGTTTTGAGTCTTCTTTCTAGAATTTGTGCTTGGCTTTTTTATTGTTAAGTGATTTATTCCTTGTTTCTAAACGTGCTTTTGAAGTTGGTGTGGTTGACGAGCTAAGATTCTGAAGTTACAATGTGGAAGATTGCAAGGATGATTAAAGAGTGTAACAGCGCGTGAGGGAGTGATTTACCATTAACATCAAAATCTTGCTTGTGTTTTCTCTTTGAATACTAATTCATGAGTTCAGGGGGCAAAATCTGGAGATGGTAATGAGGAATGAAAGTCCAAATAGACGATTCCGCCAAATTAAAACTTGGCAAATGGAGTCAATGCGCAAGAACAGTTTAGAAGTAACAACAGGCCATAATTATTCTCAAGAAAAGAAATCTCACCTTGCAGCTATCAAATTCAAGGGTTATGCTATGTTTTGGTGGGAACAATTGCTATTAAACAGAAAAGGAAAAGGAATGCAACCTATACCACCATGGGAGATCATGAAGGAGTTGATGCTCCAAAAATTTGTCCCTACTCATTACATTAGGGATTTGAACAATAAGTCAGGAATGGTGCAAGGTAGGAAAAATATGGATTACCTCAATAGGTATTCATTCACAAAGGATGGATGGATGACTGGCCCAAGATCATGTTCCTCAAAAGAAGCGTGTGAAGACCAAATGGGAAATCAAAAGATGAGTTTTGAGACTAATCAATAAAGAAAAAGATGTAAAAAGTAAAATGAGTGAAAAATATACTAAGTGAAAATAAAAAAGAAAGAGGGAGATAGAAAAGGAAAAAGCAAATTCAAACCCTATATTTGTAAACCTTTGTGGCAAAGAAGTTTGTTTGACGCCTCAATGATCTTTAACCCATCTTTTGCCAAGTGTGTTTTGTTGATCCTTTGCAAAAATTTGAAGATGTATTTCCAGAAGAGGATTGCCCAATCTTCAATTGAGGATAAAAAGATGGTTCTTGATCCATTATCAGCCTCAAAGAAGTATATGAAGGAATCAATAGGAAAGGTAATTGAGAGAGAAAGAGAGGTTTTGGCCCTTGAGGAAAAATGAGAACTGAGATTTGCAAATAGAACAAAAGAGTGAAAAGAGTGAAGAAAAAGAGGAGAAAGAGGCGCACAAAAGATTAAAAACAAATTAATGGCCAATGGTGAGTGAAACGCACGAGAAAAGAGAGAAAAGAAAACAAACCTTTTAATGCGAGAGGCTAGAGAGGTCAAAGTGGGCTATCGCGCTTGAGGCAGCCCATGTTGCTTCTTAGGTTCAAAGGAAGGTTTTACTTTTCTAATGCTGACATTAACCTTGATAAGTTTGCCTTCTATGTTTGTTTCTTATGTTGTAGGTAGTTTTTCTAATAGGCTAAAGAAGGCAAAACTGGCATTAGTGAAAGAGAATGCACGCTAAAGGGCTAGGGCTCATAATGACATGAAGAAGCAAAGGCTATTGGCCACCGTGCAAACAAGGGAAGAAGCATGTTGTGTTTTAAACGCTGGAGATTGGGTTTGGGTACAATTTTCCAAAGAAAAAGTTTCCCGCAACGCAAAGGAAGATTAAGTTTGATGAACGTGGAGAAATGGAACCATTGCAAAGTCTTAAGAGGCACGTTGATTGACAACAGCCTACAAAATAGACTTATCAGGTGAGTATGATGTTTCCGTTACTTTCATGTTAGTAATTTGTAAGAGTCCCTTTGACATGGATGCAGATTTGAGGACAAATCTTTTAAAAGAAGGGGGGAATGATAGCGGGATGCGCACCATCCACCAATCATCTATGGAGCCGTCAAGGAAAGAAGGAGCACAATAATGGCAATTCCATTAGTCCCTTCCTAATGGAGCCAAATTACAATAGGAGCCGTGCAAGAAATATGGAGCAAACATGTCTTTATACATTCAGGAAGAACAAGTCAGCACAAAGAATCTCGCATGACCTTGCTAACAAGTGGCTGTGTAGAACTTCAAGACAGACCTAAGAATTCTTACAGCTAATTGAAGCATATTTTGAGGAATAACAAGAAGCACGCCCGTGCTAGTTGGCACACGCCAGACTGGCGCTAGAGTCTGACTAAGGGAAGGAAAGTAACAACATGAAGGGGCACGCCCACTCAACGGCATGGAGGGCCTCAAAGGAGGGGCATGGGTACCTAACTTCTAACTAAGATTCGAGGGACGAATCTTTTGCAAGGAAAGGGGGAATGATACGGATTCGGCTAACAAACTCAACCATAGAGCTCAAGGAAGCATGGGGAGGCATTTAAGTTTCTCACATTGATGGAAGCAGCATGTTGAGATGGAATATGAAATTTCCAGCATAATGGCATACGCCTGGCCATGACTAGAGCCTACTTTGGCGTAATAATTTAGCCCATTTTTGTTAGTTTTGAAGTTGTAATGTTGTTAATGGGGGTTGGGCCACACCAATAAATTGAGGGGGGCACCGCTTTTATTTTTGTATGCCTTAGTTGGTTTGGAATTAATTATTCCTTATCCTTATTTGGTTTGGATTAATTATTCCTTATCACTTAGTTTGTTTGGATTAGTTAGTCTTAATCCTTAGTGTGGTTTTGGATTAATTATTACCTTACCGCCTTAGTTGGTTTGGATTAATTATTTTCGGCTTATGCCTTAGTTGGTTTGGATATAATTTAATTGCCTATCTTAGATTTGTTTAGATTTAGTCAAATCTTGTAGGTTGATTTGGATTAGTTTATCCAAACGCTTAAGTTGTTAAGATTTTGTTAGTCATAATCGCTTAGTTGGTTTAGATTTGCTAAAATCCGCTTATCCTATGCTGATTTAGACAAACTATTCTTAAATCTTTAAGGAATCTGGATCCTCTTAGAATTAAGTATAAAATAGCTTATTATATTGTAGGCATTATTCAAATGCATGCAAGTGAAATAAAATTTCTTCAAAGCTTCATGCTTAAGGCGTGTTTTCCTTGCTTTAAGAGTAGAGTGTGAGATTGCATTCTTCTAATTGTATCAAGAATTCAATGGGGGCAGGTAAACTTAATCAATTCTCTTGTGGCGTTGTGGCGTTTATCTTATTCTTTTACTCTATTATTGGTGTTCTTGCTTCTTTAAGCTTTGGGTGCCATAGAGGGGAGTTTAGTTTGATCTTGCATCTCTTCCAAATCTTGTCATAGAGTTTTTGGAATAAATTTCCATAGGGTTCCGCGTCACCTCTAACTACCAAAAGCTAGCCTTCGACTGTAGCAACGACTGTAATTGCTGTGAGTGCCTCAATAAAGAAGGTATTCATAGCAAGTAATAGGAACATTTTGGCATTCGTCATTGAAAATTCAATACATGCTAGATCAACCATGTTGCATTGGTCTATGGGGTATACACCTTGAAATGTTTTCCTGGTACTGACTGAAGGGGGATGGTTCATCACTCATGGATGTTAAAGTGGAGTGAGTGTATTTGTACATTGGCTGGAACATGCATAAACATATGACTGGAAAGTGAACGCTTTATAAAATATCCAATAAATTTTGTGAGGTTTTCTTGGTGTGCATATGTCCATTTTTAGTTAAAAATTTATGTAAGTCCTGGAGTAATTAATGGTACCACTTGACTATCTATAAATTTATTAAATTAAATTTATCTAATAAATTTATTAGATTAAAATTTGTCCTGTTCCTCCTGTTCCTCCTTAGATGTCAGCTTTGAAATCCGCCAACAAGGAGTTGAAAGGAATGATGAAAACTGTGAAGATTCAAGACATAGATGTATGTGATCTCATGACTTCTCCTTACTCCCTCTGCTTTCATGTTAAGTTACCTTTGGGAATTTATGGTGCTAAATAGGTTACCTTTTGCCATTTGTAGAACTTGCAAGATGAGATGATGGACCTAATGGATGTGAGTAATGAAATCCAAGAGACCCTCGGTAGAAGCTACCATGTGCCTGATGATATTGATGAGGAAGAACTCATGGGAGGTAAGCTCAAATTTCATCTAAAGGTCATTCTGGATAATTTGTTTTGAGCATGTAGAAAATTAATATTTTGTTCTTTACCTATTTATTTAATGTTCTTGTGAGAAGCCAGAGTAAACTTCTTATTCAAATAATCTGTAATTATTGAATTATGTCGCATTGGTAGACAAAGTATGGTAGACAAAGTATGCCATGGGCCATCAGTCAGTACATTTAAGCAGTTTCTTATTCTTATTCTTCTTCTTCTTTTTTTCTTCTGCTTGCTCCCTATGGGATCAATTTTAAATGGACATCCATACATTAAATTGGAAGAGAATGCTCCATGTGTTCATATACATGTTATTTAATGCTGATTAAATTTTGCAATGCAAAACTTGATGCTCTGGAGGCAGACATGGGAATGGAAACTGAGGCTGATGGTGTTCCTTCTTATCTGCAACCTGATAAGGAACCTGATCTGGATGCAGAACTCAACCTGCCATCAGCACCCACAGGAAATGCAGCAGCTCCGGTTGGTAGAAATAATGCTCTGGTAAATCCTCATATTTAGTTTATCACATTGTGTTCATATTTTTGTTTCAAGAATGAATAGGGCACTCTTTGGTTGGAGTGCCTGCCAGATACCATTCCTGTTATTACTTGTAAGGCATGTGTCAAAGTATACATGACGTATGGATTTCATAGTTGAACTTTGTTCGTGTAAAAATCTTGCTGATATGAAGTCTGTGTAGTGCATGAGATATATTATTATTCTTAGCAATTTGCTGTTCCCTGTCTAATTTTCCTACCTGGGAATTTCGGTGCTCGACAGGCTGAGGATGAACTAGGTTTACCTGGCATGAGGATGAAACTGAGGTTTACCTGCTGGTCCCCCAAGCAGATCCATTCGTGGTTAGGAACCTCTTTGGTGTGCGCTGATTGATGTGTATGTATATCTAAATGGAAGAGCAGGATGACCAAGCCCTTGCATAACATGTGCATAATCTGCATTGATTTGATCTGGTGATTCAGTGGGTAACTTGGGCGTCGGTTTATTTTATTGAATTTATTATTTTTTCTTTAACTATTTTCTTAGCTGGTGGGAATTTTTTGTGAACAAAGGAAACGTTTAACAATGCCAACTTGAATATCCACGTGATGAATCTACATTTAGTGTGCAGTCATTTTTTTAGGAATATACACGTGACGAATCTATATTCAGTGTGCATATATATATATATGGGTGCAATAAAAATATTTATGTTCTTGGTTAAATTGTTCAATACTTCCAATTGCCTGTATGAGGATGAACAACGGTGGAGAAGTAACCCGCAGAGCTATAGAAGTAAATTTCTAATTTCATGGAGAAGTAACCCGCAGAGCTATAGAAGTAAATTTCTAATTTCAATAGTTTCTTAAAATTTTGTATATTTATATGTAAAGGCTCTATTATTTCTAATTATTATTGAACTTCGCAGTTGTAGGCCTCATATGTCTTTAATAGTGTAAATGGGTATAACCCATCAACTCATATATGTTTTAATTATTTATCTAGGTATATCTGTTAACCAATTAGCCCACATTATGAATGACGTGTGTTGTAAATAGGCCGAGTCATGAATCAATTTGAGATGTTGAAATTAGGGCAGTGATATATGATTACTTGACTTATATATAAAATGATATTGGCTTGTCATTCCTAAGATTCGTCGATGTAATTGAATTGTGTGATTTAGACTTACTATGGCCTTAAGGGCTTTTAAGCTTACTTGGGCCCTAATGTCAGTCTCGCCACGGTTTTAGGTCATTATAATTGAGCTCCGCAGTTAGAGAGTTTTGTGTTACAATTTATCATGTTAAAGTTATTAGTGTACTGTTCAATAAACCTGTGGAATTTCTAATTATGCCTCTAAAGGTATGAGTGGACCAGCTTGCCCACATTATAGATGACGTTAATGGTATGTAAATACAGATTCGAGCTATGAATTATTTTGAATTATTTAAACATATGAAAGCATTAGACTAGAGATATTAACTTTGGCAATATGACTTAATTAATGTTATATTGTAGGCTTATTGTCCTAGAATTAACTAGAAGAAATGGATCATGTAGTTAGGCTTCACTACGCGTGATTGGGAGTTTTAAACATTACTTGGAGTCCTAATGCTCGGGACCGCTGCCTTAATGAACAATAGGATTTTTCCTTGTGCCCAAGACAAAACAAAAGAAAAATTAATTATAATATTTTCTAAATCTGGACTTTTTTTCTCATTTCCCCCAGGCCAGGATGCTAACGGTCCTTTTTAGTATAGTAGGTGATTAACTACCGTAACTTCTTGTTTCAGAAGGCAAATCCATCAGATTGGATCAATAATTAACGAGTAATCCTAATGTGAGTGGACTTGGTCAGGGAGATGCGACCCATGATTTTGGGTCGTGACAATTTTAGATACTTAGACAATATCTATACTTTATATAAATGTGAGAATAGGGAAAAATAATAAGATTTTCGATAATGCTCTTAATGAAAATTAAAATACTCTTATATAAACTTAGTCATAGCCAATTAGAAAATTACATTTATTGGTAGATTGGATATATTTATAAAAATTATTTTTTAATTATTTTTTTAAATAAATACATCATAGTAATTAAGTATTTCAAAATTTCAGCTTTATTTGTTTAAAAATTTATTTTTAAATAAATATTTTTATGATACTGAGACATTTAAAAAAATGTTGTATATTTTATTCTTTTTAAATATTTACTCGTATTCTAATTATAATTGTAATTATTTTATTTATGAGAGACATAAAAAAGAAAAATTATATTCCTTTTAATATACATATTGTTTTTTCCTTCTATACTTTAATATGATTTAATTGGTTATTTTTTTAAAATAAAAATTTTCAATTAGAATATAACACAATATTTAATTTAGCAGAGAATAAGAAGAGAAAAAAAGTACATAACTTCTTATTAATCATTTTTTCTTCATATTTGTTTTGTTTGATTCTGATTTTCTAAAAATCAACTTTCAAATAAATATAATAATAAACCTTTAAACTTTAAAAATTTTTACTTTTTTAAAAGTTTAAGTTTTTTAAATTAAAATGAACTGATGTCGCAGTTAATAATGACGAACAAATGTGAAATTTTAATTTTAAAAATATATATAATATTTTATTACATATATTTTATATATCATATACATTGGGACTTTTTTTTGTTTAGGGATTCTCCAAAATAGCTTTATTATGTATAATTGGTCACGATCCACAAACCAATGAGCCGGATCCAGCACTAAGTCCAAGTAAGCATAAGGCTATAAGGTCGTAGTAACCCTGACCACTAAACTTATTCACGTTTAGATAATGAATCACGAGAAATAGCAAGCCCTATATAACAATTTATGATAATACTATTATCCTGGCTAAATCTAGCCATTTCAAAATATTCATAACTCGGGCCAAATTTTCATTACACATATCTATAATATGGGCTAACCGGTTCGTACATCGTACATACAAATATTGTAAATTCATCTACCTAAAATTATCGCTTAACATGATCACTTCATACAAAATTAACCAATTTGTTTATAATCCATAAATAAGAGTTTTTTACAATCCTACAACTGCGAGTTCAATATTCAAACAGGAAATAGAAATAAGCTTTTCTGTACACCAATGCTAACAATTTTAATAATATTTAAATAATTACTGGAATTAGAAAATTTCTTCTCTAGCTCTGCGGTGAAGGAAACAGAGCTTAATTACGAGAGAATAAAGAATCTACTTTCTAAGAAGTTAAACAAAAGAAATGTAAGTTTAATAATGAATAATAACTATTACACAACACAAGGATTCATACAAAATGCTTCCTAAAATACTAAAATGAATACCCATCCATTCAAACATATGGCATAACATCAGCACCCACATACAAGTACATCTTCATATAATCAAACAAGTGGAAATTGGTTTGTGGCATCACCGAAACCCCCAATGAGTCGTCCTTACACATGGTCAATCCTCTCATGACGTGTGCACCAGGGAACCCCAATTCATCATACTGCCCGACCGGTCTGAATCCTTACTTGCATCAGCCCTCTATTTGTTTTATACTCTCTTATTCCCCATACAAACAGACGGGCCACCCTGTGGTTTCTTATATCATATATCATTAGATGCAACACGGGGACGCCGATTCTCCTCTATACTGGGTCAACGGTATCGAAGAACCCTTACAAACCCATCGATGACCCACTTACATCCCAATTCCACGCAAACAAGACAATATCATCATCAAAAAACATCTAAATCAAACATTACATTTAAATGCAAGACATTAAATAACAAACATTGTATGTAATATATTTAATATATACATATATAAACCACGTAAAAAATTAATGGATGTTTATGCATAAAAAATACATAATAATAATTAAATAAGTAGGAAATTGAACATTATAATAGTAATTGTATGTACTATTATGAAGTAAATGATATCCACTATCATTCTGCTATAGTAATAGAGGAGAGAAAAAGAACTCTAAATTTTTGCATTCGATCGATAAAAGTAATGGACGAGTTTGGACATCTATAAGAAATAAAAATTGAAGGGGACAAAGAAGAATAAAATAAAGAATTCCTTTCAATAAGAATAAGGAAGTATATCTTGATTAAATCTAAAAATGCTTTTGTTAAATATACTAAATCCAGATACTGTTGAAATTTTGGCAGAACCTCCCTAAAAATAGGACTAACTACCTGCTTAAGTATCAGCAATATTAAATATCTATCAACCATTACGCACACAGCCCATCTATCGGGCAATCAAACAAATTAATTTCCCTCCCTCCATACCAAGTAATTGTATAAATATTTAATCACAATACAAAACTTTAGCTATTAACGATCTAAGCTTTAAGCATCACCATTGGTCATTTACTACTTACACAAAAATATCCTCAACTTTGCTATCTAAGGTTAAGCCAATACATAAAATAACAAAATACATAAAATAACAAATAAATGAAAATTAAATATTTACGCTAACCTCATATGCTACTAGTGTTAAAGTATATATCATGTTATTTAGATATATAGCACGCGCGACGCGCACACGCCCCACGCATGCCACCAGCCACACGCACACATTATCTATCTTTCTATATATTATATATATATAATACCCGTGACAATCAAATTACAACTATAGTTCAGCACTGTTCTTTTCTTTCTTAATCAATTATATAACTCAAGATCCCGAACACAACTTAAATAATATGTGAATCATCATCCTTGCCAAGCAATTATAAGGTACGAACCCATTTTAATTCAAATCATAAATAAGCATTTATACATCAATCATCATGGAATCTTGAAAGTACGCTCATTTACATATATTTATCATTCTAAAACAACACGCAAAAATCAGAGTTTTTCTATATTAACATCATCGATCACACCAACTAACTAATTCCTAGCAAGAATTAAATTTACAACTTCAATTTTACCATGTCAAACAATAATCTATAGAAATAA